CTTTTTTCATATTTCTTTCAATTACTAAACTTCCATATTTATGCTTCTGAACTGATTATTAAAACTTCTCTATCTATCTTCTTTTTATTCCTGCGCTCTTATTTCTTGCATATCTATAAAGGCAAGGAAAAAACATTCTTTTCGAGAATCGATGTAGTTTTATCGAAAGTGAGCAAAAATGCAAAACAAAAAAGTTTTATACGTCCGTATGGTTCCCGGGATCCATCTTGGGTGCCATAAGGACGTATAATAAAAATTCTAATTTTGTTTTTTTTAGTTACACAAAAAATTAACATTTGTGGAAAATTTGTTTTCTGTTCTGCACGTTTATGCAAAAATACGTAGATTAAAAAAAAAATTTATACGCCCTTAAAAACCCTATAAAACGGTCTCCTGAGACCTCAGAACGTGAAAATCTGATGAAAACTCCCATTCTCAAAATCGGACCGAAATCAATAACTTCCTATACTTATGAAAACAATTAATTTTAAAGGCGGGAAGTTAACAATTGTTAATCAATATAAGTTAACCAATATAAGAAATTATTAATAAATATTCATTAATATTTTAGAACGATTAAGAAGAGTCAATATCGACAGTCTTAATTACTGGAATCAATTAGAAAATGGAGCGTCATTATTCGGGCTTGTTAAGCATCAATTTGTAGCGATAAACTCCAATATGACAGCAAAACTCTCAAAACTTCAGTCTGGCGAGCTGACGATGTTGGAGTTTTTACAAACAGCTATTGAAGCCAATCTGAGTGACGAAATTATTCTCCAGCTGAATTCGACTCAGTGTAAGAATTTTTTTGCATTTTTTAATTTTTTAATTGACGCCGGTCACAAATTGATGTTGTACGACTTATGATGCGAAGCCTCAGAAAGTACTTTACTATTGACAAATTCTTTTTCCCTGTTTCTGTCTATTTTTTTAATATTTTTCAATCCCGCCTTAATTAATAATTATATTTTTTAATAATTATTTTGATTTTTTTAAGACTATTTTAAGATTTTTTCAAGACGATTTTAAGATTTTTCTAAGACTATTTTAAGATTTAAGCTTTAAAATAATTTTTATATATTCTTGAAAAATCTTAAAATAGTCTTAAAGAAATCTGAAAAAAAAATATTAAAAAATTTTTAGGCTATTTTCAGATAACATCACAGTGGCAGCTCCGGAAAATTATTATGGAGCGTCTTTAAATTGTCTCAAAATTATCTTAAATTAGTCTTAAAAAAATCTTAACAAAAAATTTAGACTATTTTAAGATGGGTTAACAGCGACAGAGCCCCGGAACATTAAAACGGGAACGTCTTAAAAAAGTCTTAAAATTGTCAGATAATAATTTTTTAACAATTTTAAATTGAATTTAAAAACATCTTACTCAAAAATATTGCGGTTAGAAAGTCGTAAAATCATCTAAAAATTAATTTTCACAACAAATTCGAGAACAAAATTTTCAAAAATCTGCTCTCGGAATTTTTCTTTTGGCATCTTAAAAGAGTCTTAAAATAGTCTTAGTTTGTGTCACGTTTAAGATCTTAAACGAACGACAATTTTAAGACAATTTTAAGACGATTTTTTTTTACACGGGTGAAACTTTTGGTGTCTCAGATGGCTTATTAACTTTTTTTCGTTTAGTTATTATTGATACTCAAAAAACTAACAGATTTGTAAATCAATATTTATAAAAGAGTGTTTATAACAGAAGTGAATTTAATTTTTTAGTGGTGTTCAAAATTTAAGGGGGAACACCACTGTGAC